AGTGTCTTTAGCCTCATCCTTGTGAGGGCTGGACACTGGCACATGAAATGTTCGACTGTCTCTTTTGAGCCCGGGTCATCGCAACTGCGACAGAACCTATTGAAGGGAAATTCTATGCTTTCGGCATGTACCCCAAGATACATCGTTTTTGCTCATTCCTCAGATTGCTTTGGTTTTAAGTGGGTCGTAGGGCACTCAGAACTGCCGGGTAATCTTATACGATCCTGTACGGTTCCACCTCTACTTGGCCTTCGAGTGATAAATTTCGGTAATTTTTGTGTTAATCTCCCTGAGCGAGGCGCCTATGTCCACAGCGTGGGACACATTCATTGCGGAGCCGCTACTTGCTAGCTCGTCCACTGCCTCGTTTCCGCAAATGTCACTATGTCCAAGGAGCCATATTAGGGTAATTTCGTTTTGATCAGAAACATAGGTCAGTTTTCTCCTACATTCATCCACTAGTTGAGATCGAATCGAGATAGAGGAGAGTGTCTGAATGGCCACTTGGATATCCGAGAGAATGTTCACCTGCGTTCTCGCGGTACATTCTCTTTGATGTACCTGCCTCCTTAAGAGCAAAAGTTTCGGCCTAGAATTCGCTTGCATAGGCTGGTAGGTGGAAGGATATAATTTAGGTTGTGTTGATCAATAAAAACCACTGCACCAACTCCGCATTTAATCTTTGATCCGTCCGTAAATTTATTATTTTTTACATTGTATCTAATTTAAGCTCGTCCCATGACTGCAAATATGCTTTGTTATAATTTTTTTCTTATTTGGCAAAGAACAATATTTTTCCATGAATCTGCGTAATTGATATTCCATACTTAGCTAGTTCGTTTTTACTATTATTGGCCACTGTAGTGTCATTATGTGTTGCCACACTGTCTCATTTTATGCCAAAATTCTACTTTACATTCCAATTTTCAACAAATTACGGAAATATCGTTTGTTATAAAAAACCGTTATGCGAAAAAAGTTATAATACTAAATAGTACATACCATTGTGCACAAGCGCGCTCGGGTGTAGAAAGGCATACAAACTTAACAGAGCAGCGGCCGGCAGACAGTCAGCTAGCCAACCAACCAGCTAGATTGTACAAAAAACTGTCTCTCACAGTGACTGTGTGCTACCAGTTAGCTTCTTCTGCTTGCTGACGGTGCTGCTGTGGCCACCATTGTCGCCGCCACCATGACAGCGCCTGACCGTTGTTATTATGACTGTGTTGCTGCTGCCGTTGACGGTCATTGCTGCCACCACTTTGTCAGCATCACTTTCGATTTTCAATACAGCGCATTCAAACAAATGTTGTTTGGTAATTTTTTTGGTATTTGTTTTTCCTTTTTTTGTTTTTTGCTTGTGGTTGGCAAAAATTATGTACCACGTCGGCCAATGGTCCATTAAAATTTCGTCACAATTATATTTGGGTATTGATATTTTCCAGCGCTGCTTATAACAGACAGCAAGTTTTGTTTGCAATGGCGCGCGCGAGTGGACAATGGTGGGAATTGTTTGGTTGGTTTATTATATCTAAAATATTATATAATTTAAAATATGCCCTACATTTTTTTTTATTTTTTTTTTATTTGATCGCACTTTAGATCTAGGTGTGCGATATGTACGGAAGATGAAGCAGGGAACCATCAAGACCTGATAAGGACAGTTTCAGCGCACAGTGGTTCAAAACTGGAATTGACTGTTCATAACTGGAAACTTAATTTTTCAACCAATTTGATTAATTCTATTAACAAATTTTTACCAAAATTAAAAAATTTTTTTTAGAGTTTTTAAGAAAAATTTTTGCTATGCACTTTTATGGGTCATCAAATTTTAGTATACATAATAAAGTGCAAGTTGCAAGCGGCTAAGAGTTGGATTTGATTTTTAATAATATCTTTCGCTAACATTTCGAGCACATCGTAATGCTAAATGGAAAATAAAAGTTGCTATTTGCCTCGTGTAGCTTATATTCTTATTGTGAATATTATTAAAAATCAATGCGAACTCTTAGCCACTTGTAACTTGCCCTTTATCATACTAAAATTAAATGATCTATAAAACTGCATACGCAATATTTTTTCAATAAAAAAATAATAATTTTGGTAAATTTTTTTATAACAATTCAAATATTTTTGTGTATTTTTCGTTTTAGGGGAGCTCTACAATATTTTCAATTAGTTTTTATTATGTAATTGTTTTCAACTAGTTTTCATTATGGAACAAGAAAATCGATTTTCTTCAAAATTGCTACTTTTTCTCCAGTTCGCATTAAAAAATTTAATATAATCAAATAAAAATTCAAAAATCGGGCTCAACTGGCCTCTTGTAATAAATTTTATAAGCTTTCATTAAAAAAAAAAGTTAGCAAATTGAGTGCAAAATTAAGGCTACACTGAATTATTTACAGTAAATGCTAGTTTTGAACCACTGTGCAGTGCCCTCACCTTCCTGAAACACCTTCAACTCATAATGGCTGTTGGAATCATAACTGGAGACTGT